GTCCCAGCTACTCGGGAGGCTGAGGCAGAAGGATCGCTTGAGCCCAGGAGTTTGAGGTTGCTGTGAGCTAGGCTGACGCCATGGCACTTTAGCCTGGGCAGCAGAGAGAGACTCTGTCTCAAAAAAAAAAAAAAAAAAAAAATCACAGGCAATAAAGGCAAAATAATCAAATGGGATTATATCAAACAAAAAAGCTTTTGCACAGAAAGGAAACAATCGACAGAGTCAAAAGCCAACCTATAGAATGGGAGAAAATATTTCCAAACTATTCATCCAAACTATTCATCTGATTAATATCCATAGTATACAAAGAACTCAAACATCTCAACAGAAAAAAAACCACACCAAAAAATCCAATTTAAAAAATGGGCAAATGGAGTGCTTTGGGAGGCAGAGGTGGGAGGGTAGGAAGATTGCTTCAGGCGAGGAGCCTTGGCAACATAATGAGACCTTGTCTCTACAAAGAGAAAAAAATTAGCCAGTTGTGGTGGTGCATGCCTGTAGTCTTAGCTACTCAGGAGGCTGAGGTAGGAGGATCGCTTGAGTCCAGGAGTTTGAGGCTGCAATGAGCTATGATCAGGCATTCCAGCCTCGGTGACAGAGCGAGACCTTGTCTTTAAAAGAAAAAAAAAGAAAAGAAAAGAAATAAAAATGGGCAAATAATCTGAACAGACATTTTTCAAAAGAAAACAGAACTGGTCAATAAATATATGATAAAATGCTCAATATCACTAATCATCACGAAAATGGAAATCAAAACCATGAGGTATAATCTCGCCCCAGTAGAATGGCTATTATCAAAAAGGCAAAGAATAACAAATGCTGGCAAGGATACAGAGGAAGGCGAACTCTTATTCACTGTTGGTGGGAATGTACACAAGCACAGCTGCTATGAGGAACAGTATGGAGATTCGTCAAAAAATTACAAATTGAACTACCATGTGATCCAGCAATCCCGCTACTGGGCATTTATCCGGTGGAGAGGGAATTAGTACATCAAAGAGTCATCTGCACTCATGTCTATTGCAGCTTTATTCACAAAAGCCAAGAGATGGAATCAACCTACATATCTAACAACAGATGTATGGATAAAGAAAATGTGGTATTTATAACAATGGAATACTATTCAGCCATAAAAAAGAAATCCTGTCATTTGCGGCAACATTAATGGAACTGGAGGACATTTTGTGAAGTGAAGTAAGCCAGGAACAGAAAGTTGAACATCATATGTTCTTGCTCATATGTGGAAGTTAAAAATAAATTGATCCCATAGAAGTAAAAAGTAGAACAGAGGATACCAGAGGCTAGGAAGGGTGGATAGGGAGGATAAAGAACCATTTGTTAAAGGATACAAAATTACAACTAGATAGGAGGAATAAGCTCTAGTATTCTATAGTACTTTAAGATGACTATAGTTAATAATATATTACATAGTTTCAAATAGCTAGGATATAGAATATTCCCCAAAGAAATGATAAATGTTTGAAATGATGAATATGCTATTTATCTTTATCTGATCACCATATATTATATGTGTTGCAATATCACTATGTACCCCACAAATATGCACAATTATTGTCAATTAGAATTTTTTTTTTAGATTTTAAAAATCAGGAAAAATTTTAATGCTAAACTTGCAAAAATTATATATTATATATTACTGTTGCACATTTACTTCATGAATATAACTGTAGAACTGAGGAAATATTCCAAAATGTTGATAGTAGTTAATGCTGAATGACATGAGGCAACAGATTTTCATTTTCTTCCATTTCCTAAATTGTCCTCAATTACCTTGTACTCTTTGCCTATCTGAATCCCAGAACCTCCCCTGCAACCCGAGGGGCCATGGTGAGAATATGTACAGGTGCTGCAGCTGAAAAGAAACTTAAGACTTGGAATAGCAGCTTGGTTTTATTTCCTGCCATAACAAACATTTAACCACCAAACAAAACAAGGGCAAGGGCACCCTGAGCACCCAAGAGCCGATACAGGCAAACCTTAGGCCCCCACACTAAAGTAGCAACTGCTGTGGGAATCTTTGCCCTAAGGAACGATACACTTCCTAGGAGACACAAGGTCAGACCTCCGCTCCTTTTCCCAGCCTAGGCTTAGCGAGAAACAGGAGGCCCCAAGCGCTGCATGGTCCGCACCACCAGGGAAAGCTGGTCAAGGAAGTTGATGATGGAAATTCGGAGCAGGCGAGAGTCTTCAGCTTTCCAGCGGACCGCAAGGATACGGCCACTCACTGTAAGATCCTTCCCAACCGCCCTTCGGTGGGGTTCGGCATCTGGAGCCAGGGACCCATGGGCGATTTCCGCCTCCAAAGGGGTCGGGAAGGGCACGCTGAGGGCGAATATGTATGGTTGAATTCCTGGCCTTCTGGCCGCAGGCACTGCGTCTCCGCCCGGACATGGGGTGTGTGGCGCCCGCGTGACACGGGGAGCTCCACCGGCCACAGCTGCCGCCGTGCTCCCGCCCCTGGCCCTCAGCGCCTCCTGCCGCATCTAGAAATTTTGAAAATTAAAAAAAAACTTAGCTAAAAAACTGTTAATTAAAATTGTGAATCAATTTTTAGAGAATTGATATCCACACTATGTTGCATATTCCAGTCCATGAACATGGGATGCCTCTATTTATTTAGATTTTCTTTAATTTCTTTCATCAACATTTTGTAGTGTTCAGTAAATGAGTCCTATGTGCAAGATGTACACCTAAGTGTTTTTTTGAACAATTTAAACGGTATTGTTTTTTGTGTTTTTTTTTGAGACAGAGTCTGGCTCTGTTGCCTGGGCTAGAGTGCTGTGGCATCACCCTAGCTCACAGCAACCTCAAACTCCTGGGCTCAAGCCATCCTCGTGCCTCAGCCTCCCGAGTAGCTGGGACTACAGGCATGCGCCTCGATGCCCGACTAATTTTTTCTATATATATTTTTAGTTGTCCAGCTAATTTATTTCTCTTTTTAGTAGAGACGGGATCTTGCTCTTGCTCATGCTGGTCTCGAATTTCTGACCTTGAGCGATCCTCCCACCTCGGCCTCCCAGAGTGCTAGGATTACAGGTGTGAGCCCCCACGCCTGGCCTGTATTTTAATATTGGTGCCCATGTGTTCATTTCTAGTATATAAAAAATGCAGTTGATTTTTTATGAATATCTTATATCCTGAGATCTTGCTGAACTCATATATCAGTTCTTGCATTTTTTTTTCTTGTTTTGTTGCCCAGGCTAGAGTGCCATGGTGTCATCATAGCTCACAGCAACGTCAAACTCCAGGCTCAAGCGATCCCTCTACCTCAGCCTCCCCAGTAGCTGGGACTACAAGTGTACACCATGCTGCCCAGCTAATTTTTCTATTTTTTGTAGAGACGAGGACTAGCTATGTTGCTCAGTCTGGTCTTGAATGATCCTCCTCCCAAAGTGCTCAGATTAAATGCATGAGCCACCATGCCCTGGCCTCTGAGAAGCAGGTCTTAAAGCAGCTGGCTCCTAATCTTTTCCCAGAAGACTGATTTCATTTGGAACAGAGTGTGGATGAATTCAAGCCTTGTGTTCTCTCAAAAATAGTGAAGGTTGTGATGAAAGGCAATTGGGAGGAGACTGTTGTAATCATTGGGTACACAGACTAGAATGCAGGTTGGCTAGTTTGCCCAAGAGAACCAGGGAGGTACATATTTGTTAGAAGCCTGCTTTAGGATTGAATAAATCTCAAACATTGACCTTGACAACTATCTCCTTAAAAGAGCCCGAATTAGACTGAATTATTCTGTGGAGCAATTTGTGATCAAAGGCATTGCTGAAAGGAGTAGAGCAATCAGCAATTAGTGCAGCTTAACAGCTGGGTGTCTTCAGGGAAAGGACAGGGAGATCCCTGACAAAACCCCTGCCACACGGGGTGACTGTGGACATACCCAAGACTGTGGGCCATGAGGACCACATCAGAGGCTTACCACTATTGGCAGGAGGAGGAGGAGACATATTTCACTAAAGTAATCCAGCCAGTCACTAAACAAATAAGCAAATGACAATAACAGCCCCTTAAGGGCAGACCAATACCCAGGGAGTTACTACAATATTTTAAACTGTCCAGTTTTCCACAAAATATTATGAGACTTGTAAAGAAACAGGGAAGTTTCTGACCCATATGCTGGGAAAAAAGCAGGAAATAAAAACTGCCTGCGACTGCAACACAGGCAGTTTATGTCAGATTTAAAAGGCTTCAAAGCAGCCATTCATTGTACTACATTCAAAGAACTAAAGGAAAACATTATTCTTGAAGTAAAAGAAGGTATAAAGGCACTATCACATATTAATAAAATACAGATTATCAATAAAGTGATAGAAATTCTAAAAAAGAATCACGTAGAAATTCTAAAGTTGAAAAATACAGTAACTGAAATGAAAAAGTGATTAGGAGGACTCAGTTGATTTGAATTGGCAGAAGAAAGAATTAGGGGACATGAAGATAGAATGATAGTTATTATGCACTCTAGGGAACAATAAGAAAAAGGAATGTAGAAAAATGAATAGAGCCTCAGAGATTTATTGGACACCATCAAGCACACCAAAATACGCATAATGGGAGTACCAAAAAGAAAGGAAAAGAGAAATAAATCATGTGTCTATGGTCAACTGATTTTTAATAAGGGTGGCAAGACCATTTAATGAGAAAAGAATAATTTTTATTTTCGTTTTTTTAGTTGTAAATATCTTTTATAAAAGAACAGTTTTGAAACAAATGATTCTGGATATTTACATGCAAAAGAATGAAGTTGGAGTCCTACCTGACACTATCTACAGAGATGAACTCAACATTGGGCATAGATCTTGACGTAAGGCCTAATACTACAAAATTCTTAGAAGAAAATATGAGTAAATCTTCATGACCGTGGATTCTTATATATGACAGCAAAGTCATGAATAATCAAAGAAAAAGTAGATAAAGTGAACTTCATCAAAATTAAAAACTTTTCTTGAGCTAGGCATGATGGTTCATGCCTGTAATCCTAGTCACTCAGGAGGCTGAGGCGGGAGAATCATTTGAGGCCAAGAGTTCAAGACCAGGATTTTGAGACCAGCCCTGGCAACATAAAGAGACTCCATCTCTACAAAAAAGAAAAAAGAAAAGAAAAAAATCAGGCAGACATGGTGTCAGTGTGCATGTTTGTAGCCTTAGCTACTTAAAAGGCTGAGTCAGAAGGATTGTTTGAGCCCAGGAGTTCAAGGCTACAGTGAGCTAAGATGGCACTCCTGCACTCTAGTTTGGGTGGCAGAGCAAGACTCTGTCTCTGAGTCTTTTTTTATTTAAATTTTTTATTTATTTTAAATAAATAATAAATAAAATAAAAACTTTTCTGTTTCAGAAGATCCCCATCAAGATAGTGAAAAGACAACCCACAGAATGGGAGAAACATTTGCAAATCATATATTTAATATCTGAAAAAGGACTTGTATCTTGAAAACATAAAGAAATACAACTCATTAATAAAAAGAAGAATAACCCATTTTTAAAATGGGCACAAGATCTGAACAGACATTTCTTTTTTTTTTTTTTGAAATGTGGTCTCACTATGTTGTCCAGGCTGGTCTCAAACTCTTGGGTGCAAGCGATCCTCCCACTTCATGAACAGACATTTCTTCAAGGAAAATATGCAAATATCCAAGAACACACACAAAAAAGATGTTCAATATCATTAATCATCAGGGAAATGCAAATCAAAACCATAATTAGATGCTGCTTCATACTCATTAAGGAGGCTAGAATCAAAATTCAGATAATAACAAGTGTTGATGAGGATGTAGAGAAACTGGAACCCTCATACACTTCTGGTAGCAATGTAAAAGGGTACAGCCACTTTTGAAAACAGGCTACCAGTTCCTCATACGATTAAATATCGAATTACTATACAACTGAGCAAATCTACCCAGGAGAAGTGAAAACATATGTCCCTACAAAAGATTTGTACACAAATGTTCACAGTTCTATTATGCATAATAGTCAAAAAGTAGAAATAATCCAAATATCCATCAACTGATGAACAGATAACAAAAATGGTATATCCATATAACAGAATATTAGTCAGTCATGAAAGGCAATGAAGTACTAACATACGCCACAACATGGATGAACCTTGAAAATACTACACTTTCCAGATGGCTCCATGGGCATGAAAAAGAAAAAAGAAAATAGTACACTAAGTGAAAGAAACCAAACACAAAAGACCACATATTATATCATTTACATGTCCAGAATAGGTGAAGCTATGGAGATAGAAAGTAAGTTAGTGGTCCTTAGGGCTGGAGAGGATAGGAGATAGGTGAACATTTGGTATACAGTGAAAGAATACAGAACTCAGCATTTGAAACCTGGGTTTGAGACTGCTCTATCACTATTTGTGTGAGCTCTGTCAAGTTATTTGTTGCTTAATCACATTAAGCCTCAGTTTCCTCTTCAAAAAATGGGAATAGAGGGTTTTATGAAGGTTAAATGTGTATTGCCCCTAGAACACTACTCAGCACAGTGTAGGTGCTCACAGGTGTTCACAAAACATTAGCTACTATTATGTTCACGTGCTTTCAAAACAGCATTTACAAACCTGTACTAATGAAAACAAAAACCATCCAAGAGTGAAAAATTCAAATAAATTAAAACGATCTGTTATTGTAGTAATTACACATTGAAATATCTGCAGAAGTTTGAAACAGTATCAGCAGATTGGGTTGAAGTATCTGGTAGTGACAGGGACTCAGGTGAGCAGGAAGCCTATGCCTTGTCTAAAGGGAGAAGCTATGGTTCACCTCCACTCAGCTGTTGGACCAGGTTTGCAGATCTTCCTAGTTTTCAAGAAAAAGCACAAAACAAAACAACCAAAACCACACACCTGAAGGCCAATTTTGGCCTAAGACCACCAGTTTCTGGCACTTGCTTTAGTGCTTAAAATGTGTGTGTGCTGTACATTCCAAGCAGAATGCATTTGTTCTTCACCTCCCTGTTTTTCCTAGAATCTCAGAGAGCAACCAGGATGGTGGTAACTATTCCCTCTAAGATGGTGGTTGATGGGTGCAGTATCATGGTTATGGTTGCTCATATTGTTACCATCTCTCCTACACCAAGAAAAATTTGTTTTCATACTTCCAGCATCTTATAAATGAAGTCCCATACGCCTACACCTTCTCTGCGATTTCAAGTTAGGTAAGGACTCTGAGAAGCATGTGTCATACAATATTTTTCTATTCTCATGTAGTTTCTGTGTATCACTAATTTTGTCAAGACTGGAATCTATGAACCAGACGACTGTATTTGCTGTGGTTATGAAAAATAGTGTCCAAAGAGAAGATGAAAATAAGATATTGTAACTCCAAAGTTGAGGGAAGACAGTGTTTCAAGAATAGAGTTGAATACACTTGAGAAGTTAAGTGGAATGGCCAGGCGCGGTGGCTCACGCCTGTAATCCTAGCTCTCTGGGAGGCCGAGGCGGGCAGATTGTTTGAGCTCAGGAGTTCGAAACCAG